TAAACCTAATCACTTACATTATAAAAAGAGTAGCACACACACACACACACACACACACACACACACACACACACACACAGACAAGCAATTTATATGCACAGGAAAAGGTAAAAAAAATCCACTAAATATTGGTCATCATTGGTTGCTGATGGAGCACCAAGTGGTCTATTGATCTGTTTTGATAATTATGTCATCTTTCTGGACACAGGGTGAACTTATTGTCAGTCTAGCACTCCGATGATGGATGGGTACGTGTTATATCCACTCAGCTCAAACTACACTCTCTCTCTCTCTCACTGCCGTCGAGCTAATGCTGCCTCATAGCGACCCCCTATGGGTTTCCATGACTGCAGCTGTTGACGGGAATAGAAAGCCCAGTCTTTCTCCCTCAGAGATAATGGTGGTTTCCAACTGCCGACCATGAGTATCGCAGCCTAACACATAACCACTACACCACCAGGGCTACTATACTCAAACTGCAAGTATATGCTTATTTCCTCATTGGAGAATGGCTTTTTTGTTACATTAATGAGGCAATATTAGTGTAAGATGTATGCTTAGTCCATCTCTCTTAAAATGCAGAGAAGCAAGGAAGAAAAGAAAAGAGATACCAACCCACAAGAAGATGGCCCAGGAGCAGAAGCTCAAAAGAGAAAGGACCCTCTTCCAGGGCCAACAGAAAGAAAGAGCTTTTCCCGCGGGCTGGCACCCTCAACTTCATTCAGCGTCAAGCCTCCTAGACTACACGCTACACTGCTCTAACCGGGCTGAAAGCATCTTCGACACATTCTACTTTCATGCGGTATTAACAATATTGTTCTACCATTTCTACAATTTGTTGGATTGCTTTCCTTTCGAATGGGCTAGAGATTGCTTCTTCAAGTATGGCCATTTGTCCAGGTAGCTGTCTTGCAAACATCTTGGCGCACACGAGTGAGTGTTTCCAGCGGTGCCTCCGTTTGGTGCAACCTCGCCATCGTCTTCCATCGTTCTTGGACACTGGCTTTGTGCCGGTGTCTGCAATGCTGCTGGGGCTTCTTCTTTCAACACTATTGGCTCT